GCCTTGCTGGGCAAAGGGTTAAGCACCCTTTCCCCTCCCACCCTCCCCATCCCTCTGCTCCCTGTGCTCCATCCCTCCCAAAACTATTTTTCAAGTTTCAAAGCAAACAAACAATGGCCATCAGGACTCCACGCCTTCGGGTGTAACGTCCAGTTTGGTCTTCATGGCCAGTGGAATGCGGGTGCAGAAAGAGTTGTCTCTTACTTACCCGACTGCCTTTTGGACCAGGCTCCCCTATAGGTCCAGGTAAACCCTGAAACACAAGAGAGGGGGAAGAAACAAAAACAAAGACAGATAAATGTGGAGATGTTATAACTTCTAACTCTGACAAACAGCGCCAGATCAGAGGCTCCTCTGCGATTTGGGAACTAATCCAACAGATAGCTATAAAGGAATTGGGGGGGGGGATCATCATCACCCGCACAAAAACAAATAACCCGATTGTTATAGGGAGATGACTCTGCAGAAATCATGTTTAAATAGACCCAGGCATTCATTCCAGCTTCATTCCAAAGCAGCCAAAGTGCAACCGCAGAGCGTGTTGAATATGAAAAGGCAGAAGGCATATGCCAGTATCAGATCGTGGGGGGGGGGGGGGGCCCAAAAACAGAGACATACATTACATTTTAACCTCTTGGCTGATATTGCCGAGTGGTTAACGGCTGCACTTATCACCAGGTAACTGGAAGCTATACTTACATTAGGTGCGCCCCGTGCGTCAGCTGACGGGAAATGCCACCTGATTTCAGTGAGAAGGACCCCCTGCTCACAGGGATGAGAGGCAGGTAACAACTACATTCCTGAACCCTCCTTCATGGAGCCTTCACAGACTATTCAAGGACATGCTGTGTCACTGGCATCTGACAACCTGCCTAATGGCAGTTCATACTGAGGCAGCTAGGAAAACTTGTTCTCCAATGCATCTGGGATTACCCCAGACACTGGGCCAGACAGCGACTTATTTTTGCTCTTTAACTGACCCCCATCACAGAAGGGCACTTATGTTAGCCAGATTTAACACACTGCCATCGGCCATCTTCTCTGGAAGATGCCATAAAATCCTTTATGAACGTAGACAATCCCCTTGTAGTCAGGGTGCCATCAAATCCGTTTCCCGTGTTCTTTTAAATTGTCCATTTTATTCTAAGACCCGGGATAAATTTCTGGACAACCTTCTTTTTACATGGCGTGGTCTCCCTGAGAGTGTCTAAGTCCAGTTGCTACTCTTGAGGCAAAACGCTTCTATAACTTTTAATGTTGCCTGTTTTCTTCAATCTGCAATTCAAATCAGGGAAACTATAAACTGACCAGTGTTGTTTTTTTTCCTTGCTGTTTGTTTGTTTGTATGACAGCCACATTTTTATGTATTCCTAAATTTTAATGTACTTTTATCTCTGATATGCCAATAAAGGTTGTCTGTCTGTCTGGCAGTTCATACAGGATAGAGCTATCTGTGGATATTAGTGATCAGAGCTCCACTGAGCTTCCAGGTGGACAGGTAGTATACTTCTAAATACTAGCCGGCGGGGAGGAAAACAACAGAAAGAGTTGTTCCCTTCATCTATATATTTACATCTTCATTCCCACCAAGAAACTCAAGAGCATGGCGGCCCCTTTCTTCATTTTATCCTCATAGCAACGTTGTGAGGGAAGTCAAGCCAAGACAATGTGGCCAGTCCAAGGTCATCCAATTATCAACGGAGATCCAAATCCAGGTCTCCGCAATATGGGAGAGGGGAGGGCATCAACAAAAGGCTGGGGTGGGGGCAGGCAGTTGGCGGGAGAAGCCACAGCTCCCTCTATCCCTGTTCAGCTAGGAATTTAGAGGTGGAGCTGCTGGGTGAGATCTCCGAGTTGTGACCAGTGTTCCCTCTAAGTTGAGTCCGTGTGAGCTAGCTCACAGTTTTTTAGCCCCCGGCTCACACATTTCTGTCGTAGCTCAGAAAGGATGGCCCCAGAGCAAAGTAATTTATGCAGTGGCCAAATCGCTTGCTCACAACTTTAATGCCAAGAGCTCACAGAGTAGAATTTTTGCTCACAAGACTCCACAGCTTAGAGGGAGCACTGCTTGTGACCTGGCACTGTGCAAAGAGACTGGGCTGCTTCCACTCTTTCAGGGGATGCTTCTGGTTTGTAGGCATTCTAAGCCTATGCTACCTGTGCCCTGCGGAGAGGGCACATCAAGGAGCCGATGCCACCAGAACGTGAAGGGCCTAAGAGAAACCAGCTGAAGCAGGCCCTCCTGCAAATCCCCGAAGCAACGTCAAGGCCTGTACGCCGAGGGGGAAGACAAGCGGCCCAGGCCAGGGAACCCATAATGTCAACTCCTGAGAAGACAGTGCCCTGAGATAATTTTACTCTTTACTGTTTTGCCTTTCCAAATTTTAAATCGTAGGCTACCTCTTGGGTGGTTTGACAGAAAAGCCGTATATAAATGCAGCAGTGCACTGCTGGGGAGGGCTGTCAAAGCAGCTTCCAAGGAAGCTGGAAGTGGGTTGCCCAAAGCCAGAAGTGATGTCATTTCAAAGTGTTGAGGCTCCAGGGAAAGGCACCTATATATCGGAGGTGCTGAAAGCATTAGAGAGAACTTGTGTGGGAGCCAGCAGGACTCCCTTGCTGTACCTGAGAAGGGAGAGAGCCCAAATGCTCTTTCTGCCACAGAGAGATAACAAGGCAGTGAGGGAGGGAAACAGGAGGGAGAAATGGGAAGGGCCTTAGACACCCAGCCAGCCAGGTACCCTATGCCCAGCTGGGAGGAAGTAGGCACTCCAAAGATTTGATTGGCTACAGGAATTACCCATGCCTCAACGCAACCAGAAGTCAAAGCAAACTCAGTGCAGTCAGTGCTCGGTTCTCAGGGCCCTGTCTTACATGCCCAGGGTTAATGCCGATCGCCACTTTGGGGTCAAGAAGGAATTTTCCTCCGGACTAGATTGTCCAGGGTTGTTGTTTTTCTTCTGGCCATAGAGCAGGCCTCTGCTGGGTGAGGGGGTGGGATTTCCTGTGTTGTGCAGGGGGTTGGACCCTTGAGGTCCCATCCATCTCTATGTTTCTATGTTTCAAACTTGCCTAGGGATCGACCAACCTACCTCAAGTACAGTGATTTACAAAGCACTTTCAAGCAGATCTAGCCAAAAGCTTACAAGCCTATCATATAATTACCACGTCTTACTAGTTTTAAAAGGGCTGAGGTCAAAATGCTGGTGATGAGCACATGGTCAGGGCCCAAGTACTCAAAGGACCACTTCCCTCTGTATCCTCCTGCCCAGAAATTAGTATCATTTATAGCAGGGGTGTCAAACATGCGGCCCAGGGGCTGGATCAGGCCCCCAGAGGGCTTCTATCAGGTCCACAGTGGAACTGGCTGTCTTCTGCTTCTTCCAGTTCTGCTGCTGTTGCGTCATCGTAGGTATGCAGCTTACATACTCAAGATTGCAACAGCAAGGACTTTTTGATGCAATAATTCAGAGCAAGAGGTGTCAGTTATCAGACACTGTTAAATAAACAAAACATTGTAAGAGTGCTGATGTTTTAAGCATGTTTTTATTTAAGTTAAAAAAAAACCCTTTGTGTTTATGTTCTTTATAAAGTTTATATCTCCGCTACCTGGCATTACATTTTATGACACACATGGCCCGGACCAACAAGTAACAAATGAGTTTGACACCCCTGATTTATAGAGACCGTGCTTTGGCTGACCCCACTTGCCAGGAGAAAAGGGTAAGGCTACGCAAGGCAGATGCTTCCCCAACTATCTGAGTTGGTAGATTCCTGGAGATTTGAGAGTGGAGCCTGGGGAGGGTGGGGTTTCGGTAGGGGCGGGACCTCAGTAGGATATAATGCCATAGGGCCCGCTCTACAGAGCAGCCATTTTCTCCAGAAGAACTGATCTCTGTAGTGTAGAGACCAGTTGCAGTAACCCACCAAATATGGAACTCCCTCCCCATGCATATTCACCTCTCTGGGAATTTTTCCATTTTTTAGCACCAAGCCAAGACTTGTTTGTTCACTCAGGTTTTTGGATCATTTTTCTGTGTGTTTCTGTTTTGGCTTTGTTTCTGGATAGTGAGCAGACTGATGGTCTTATTGTTTTTAATAACTGTCTAACTTATAAAATAGTAAAAAGCTGAGTGGCACCTTTAAGACTAACAAACTTTATTGTAGCACAAGCTTTCGAGAAACACAGCGCTCTTCGTCAGATCCATCTGACGAAGAGCGCTGTATTTCTCGAAAGCTTATGCTACAATAAAGTTCGTTAGTCTTAAAGGTGCTACTGAGCTTTTTGCTGTTTTGCAGAAACAGACTAACACAGCTAACTCCTCTGGATGTTTAACTTATTGACCTCTTTTAGTTTGCAGTTTTATTTGGATATCATTTGTCAGTTCTCCCTGAAGGTGTGGCTGGGGATGGGGGGGAGAATAAAAAATCAACAGATAATGGAACTAAGGTATGATATTGGGAAGAGCTGGAATATACAGAGGAAATCAGAGAAAGTAGAAAAGGATGTCTCAAAACACACAGAATATCCTTCCCCACAACCAGCCTCCACTGAAGGTACAAGTCTTCCAGGTCTTATAGAGAGTTCAGACAGGCTCTAGCATGAGTTTAGCAATTTACCTCTCGCAAAACCCGTAAGGACTAGGGACTTACAAAGGTCCCAGTCACTCTTTATTCAGATTTGTTAGGTACAAATGAAAAGCAACTGAAAAGATAAATGAGGCTCAGAGGCTGTCTATGGATTTGGCAACCTTTAAGTTATCCTTCCTTGTTTTTTTAAAAAAACACACATAGTAGCCTCCTGTGTTTATTTCCTCCTTGCCAGACAGGATTTGTCAGCTTTAGAAATTAAATGGAATGGTTTGTTTGTTTGCCTCCCACTGGAAGTTTTGCAAAAGCAACTGGGGAGCCCAACACCAAGTTCTAACATCAAGCATCATTGTCAAAAGCTTTTTCTCCCTCATCAGGCCAAAGTTAACAAGTTTGCCCACAATGTGTGAACCGAAGAGAGGCCAACGCCACCTCCTTTTCCATAGTGCTGCAAAGCCAACGCCAGCCAAGAGGAGTTACACATAGTAAAAAAAGGGGGGGCAGGCCATGAAAGTAAACATACCCAAGACTGAAGACGTTTCGTATAGAGAGCTGTGTAGTTATTGGTCCCCAAGGAGAAGAGAAACAGATATCATTTCCCCCTTTCCCTGAATCCCTTTCTGCTTACAAAAAAAAGCAAGCAGGCCTTTGAGTTACACAGAACCAAATTAAAATGGCAGCAACGGAGGCAGATGTTTGAAAAGAGGGAAGGCACTTTGCAAGTGCTCTGATATGTCCAGATGGCATCTCAAGAGCTGCTATTCAAAGAAGTGTGTACCAGAATAGAGCAAGAAACCAAGAAATATAAGGAGACAGACATAAGTGGGAAAGTTTTTCAAGCACGCACTACTTCAGAAGGCCTGAACGGATGGCAGACTTCATAGGGGAGGCCCTGCCAGCACTGGAGCCACCACAGAGATGACACTGTGACAAGCTATCAACCTCCCACTTCCGTGAATCTCCTGCTTTGAGTCCGCCTACTGTCAGAGGTATAGGGTGGGGGGGGTTACACTGGACAGGGCACTTTCAGAGGCCGCACTGAGACTCCAGAAATCCCTGACTAAGGAGGCCAAACGGGCTCCCTTCCCACCCACCGCCACTTTCCTTGTGTTTAGATATAGACTACCCCCTTTCAGCAGATGTTTGGCAGTTCCTCATCTGAGTTCCCTGCAGCTGTATCCAGCACTTTAGACTGACTTTTATCCTTGTTCTGCTTTATTAGATTTGACATCTGTTCCTCTTGGTTCTGATGGCTGGTGTCTACCATCTGAAATTTTTATTTGGCATTTGTAGCTGTGGCCAAAAAGCAGGGGGTAGAAAGAGGATTTTGTGTCCTGGGAAACCATTTGACAAGGAGGTTGAGTCAGGAGGGGATGAGCTGCCATCTTGGCATCCCCTGGAGCATTAGCAAGATGCTCCCATGTGCCAAAATTCCCACCCAAGGAGTCAACTTTGGGCAACTTCGTCGTGACAAAAAATGGCTGTGAATCAGGCTCAAGACCTCCTTCCCATGCGTTTTGATAAAGCGTGGCACGGGGCAATAGAAAAGCTTGGATATGCCTTTGGGCCGCACAGGCCAGTATGCTGCTGGTATCCCACATGGCACCAGCCTCTTATGCCCCCAGTAAGTGTCGCCTCCCAGAGAGGACTCTGAGATTCGCAGCTTCCCCCCCTTGTGTGGGAGGGAAGAATGTTTCTGCATAAAGTCTGTCTTCTGTAAAAGAAAAAACACTGCCCCATACATAGCCCGGCCTGCCTAATTTTGTACACAGCAGTTAAGCGCTATGTATGGCGCGATTAATGCCTACGGGGGTCCACAGTCCAGGCTGTCCAATGTGCCCAGTCAATGCGACAGAGCGAGCATGTGTACAAAGGACATTGGCAAATTGGCCTCCTCCACTGAAATGGAAGGGCCAGGCAGAAGAAGAGTTTTGCTTGCATATTCTAGAACTCCTGTGCCTCTTAGAAAACTCATATCTATCTGCGTTCTCACTGAAGTGGGGAAACTGTCTGGACAGGGCCATATTTCTAGTGGGAACTCATATGAGAGAAGATTCTTCCTACCCCTCTCCAAAAATCCATTATACACAGAAAACTAGTCTAGCCTTTTCCCTGGTGTGCTAGAGTTCTTCCTGCAGAGAGTTTTTCCTGTATGAAAGAGCATTCAAGTCCTGTAACAACCCCCCCACCCCCCGGGCAGTCTGAAATGGTACAGTACAAACACAGGGAAAACCAAGAGGAGGGCAAAAGGATCCGGGCACAGCCCCGATGGGACCAGATCTGAATCTTTTGCTAATTGTGAGACGCCGTTGTCTATCTACCTAAATCCCCCCAAGCCCTATGCTGTGCACAGCACGGTAAGATTTACTGCACCTGCCTGCCAGGATAACCTTTGGCACCTGGGTTCCCATCGGGTCCTCGTTCACCCTATCAAAAACAAAACCAAAAAAAGGGAAGAATTACATTTAGGATCACAAGATCTCCATGTTTAATAGTATGGTCTATTGTCCTTCTTGCAGTGATGGGACGGCAGTTGCCCTGGTGATAGGGATGGAAGACTGAAAACGGGCGAGGTACAAAGGAGCTTCTTACGTCCCAGAGAAGTCTCTTTTCAGAGAGGGATTGTGGCTGAGACCTTCTTGGCACACAGAAGGTACCAGGCTCAGTCCCCAGCATCTCCCTTTTGAGGCTCTCAGGCAGAAGGGTTTCGGGAAGGGCCTGTCTCTGCCTGAGTCCCTGAAGAGTCCTTGCCAGTCAGGGCAGAGTCTGACTCTGATATAAAGGAACTTTAAATACTCAGTGCCATTAGATTTCCCAGTACTGGTGCTCAGTAGATTTCAACCTGAATGAATTAAATGCATAATATCCTTTCACATTGGTCTTCTGAACAGGCTCTGCTATTCACGGGGCCTTTTTAAAAAAAAAATCCAAACCGAAAAGGGGTGAGGTGAGTACAGGAGAAAATTAAATTACAGCCTCGCTCGTGAAGAAGCGATTCAGTGCAATTCCAGCTGAAATACTAATGCGCTGCTGGAAAGGAGAAGCTAATATAAACACCTGAATATTTCCTTAATGTAAAATTTAAAATGTTTAGAAGATAAACTCAAGTCGTTCCCCCGCGCACACTCTCCACCTATGGCGGATCAGCAGCCACAGGAGACGAAATTAGCATAAGCATAAACAAACTCAGAAGCCAGCCAAAGCCTGAAAGAGCATATTGATGGCATGAACGGCTGATCCAGAGCTTCGGGTGCGTTCCAATGCACATAACGCAGTTCCTGTGCAGGCAGACTTCTGCAACCAGTTCAACCAAGTGGGCAGCTTATAATGCACAAAGAGATTCACTAAGCTAAGGGCCAAAACATTCCTGACACAAAAGATCTACGTGATTAGGATCTTCAGTGGTTTCTGGAAAGCTAACTGGCAGCTGCTCTGAAGATCAGGGAAGAGTTGCTGGGGCAAGAGGTTGTTTAACCCTTTTTCTCCCACGCTTCCTCCATGATGTACAAAAGAATCACTCCTAAGCTACAATTAGCAGCGCACGGATGCTGGAGGGAGATGTAGGCACTTGCATGCACCCCGTCTTTCCCCACAGGCATGGGCGGATTAAGGCTCACGGGTGCCCTCAGCACTGACCAATCTTGGTGCCCCCCTCCTTTCCACAGTGACCCCCCAGTCCATTTTAGTTGTTGACCTGTCTGACCAAATATACAATGCCGGTTGCAGCAATACAAAAATTAATTCATAGGATAACACAATATACTGTACAAACGAAGCTTTTCACCCTTTTCCCAACTTTGTGGTGCCCCCTTTGGTCCTGGTGCCCTAGGCACGTGCTCAGTCTGCTTCATGGCTAATCTGCCCCTGCCCACAGGCGGTGTTAACTGCAGCTTCAGAGGGGTGTTTCATGGGACAGCCGGTGAGATGAAAGGGTTAAACACCCAGCAACTCTTCCCTAATCTTCAAAGCAAGCCTCCCCACCAGCTCTTAATTAGCTTTTTAAAAACCAGAGAAGATCTTCATCACAGATCTTTGTGTCACATCTGCTTTGGCACGAAGGACCCCTTCCCTGTTGAGGGACAAGGAGTTTTTCTTACACGCAATAAAATAAAACAGGAGTCCAGTGACACCTTAAAAGACCAACAGAATGGATTACACCATAAACTGTAAGCAGAAGCTAACCACACGGGGAGGCACTGGTGCAAAATCCTGGGTTGGAGGTGCCAGTGTTTTAAATTACTGAGTTTTCATCTCAAAGAAATGGCAAGGAGGTGGTTTCCAATGTGAACTTTAGTTAAAACATTCTGAAATCATAAACCAAGAGTATAAACTAAAAGAGCAGCTAGTAGAACAAAAGAAACCATAAAAAACAGTGATTAAACTTTTTTAATAAGCAGAGATGAAACAATAAGCAGCAGCAGCCAGCAACAGAATCTATTCTACAGAATAAACCAGCTTTAGGGAATAACAGTACCATCCTGAGCAGGGTTACACTCTCTAAATCCATTGAAGTGAATGGGTTTAAGAAAAGTGCAACTCTGTTCAGGCCAGCATTGGAATAAAAATGCAAATGCGCTCCAGCATAAAATTGTCTTCACAAGTTTCCAGAAGGCCAAAGGGGAGCAGGGCTGACATTGCTTCTTTTTATATATATTTTGATTTTTATCAAATGCTTTGGTCTGTTTTTGTTGGGGGTTTTATTAACTTATTTATTTTTAAAAATTGTTTGCACTGTATACACATGTTGTTTGATTTTTACATGATGCCAATTTATCAACTGACAAAAAACAGATACATTCGTGAGAAAATCTGATATGGGGAAACAGAAAAAAGTGCTAAAATAAAGAGTTAGAGTCTATTAACACAAAGGAAAGGCAAAGGGAAAACAGGGATTTTCCAGGTCAATACACCATTAGAATCATCCTTCGATATTCAGGTGAAACAGCAGATTAAGGTTCACTCACCTGGTCTCCAGGATGACCTGGTGGGCCCGGGTAGCCTTTCTGCCCCTGTTCAAACAGAATTACAATAGATGTGCTTTAAAAAAAAAGTGTTTGCAACATCATGCACAGGGAAGGGAGTTGGGATCAGCGTTCCTTCTAAACTGGGTTAGTGTGAGCTAGCTCACAAGTTTTTAGCCAAGTAGGCATGTTGAGGGCATGTACCAATGAAGAGTTTGCACAGAGTTCTATTTGGTCAACTTTTACTATTAAGATTCACACAATCCTGTTATATACCAAAACTTTTCCTACTTTGTGCTACAAGCAGAGTCTAAAACAACAGCCATAGACCTCAGTGCACTGTTTCTTAGCGCCGCTGCCTGCCACCCTGCCTAGTAATTGCCCTTTTCTTCTCCCTTCCAAAGAGTTGCATAATCCAACAAAACAATTCCACTGTCAATCTCATTTCTGCAGATCGATGACAATTTTTTCCTTTGGAAAATCTCCCGAGACTATTGGTTTTAGTGTGTTCTGATAACAGCAACACTGCTAATTAACAACGGCTCATTTTAAAAATCAACCCTCTCCCCATGTATTTGTACATATGTGCATGCACTGCATCATGGGGTTTGGAGCTGCGGGGCCAAAACGAACAGGGACAGATCGCTTGGCGTGTTTTTCTAAACCTAAAAGGTAGCTGTGGAGAAGCCCCAACATGCTGGGCAAGGAGAAGTTAATGCTCCCCCTCCTCTGCACATGTACCCTTTTCCCCTGATCGAATCTGTGGCCTCAGATTACGATTATCCCTTGTCCACTTTTTGGCTGCTGAGACCAACAGAACCCTGAGCAGCCTGGTTCCAACTGGGAACACAGTTTGGGGGGAAAGAGAACCCCACATACACTGCCCAAGTACAATGGTTCTGTTAAGTCACCCACTTAACAGAATAGTCGGAGAGTGATTCAGCAAAAGATCAGCTTTATTCAGCAACTCAACACAACTCCAACACGGATCAACATCTGATAGCCAGAACAGCTTTTACATTGAAGCTGTTCTACTTTTAAACTCTCCCGGCTAATGTAGCCACACCCTATTATACAATATCAACCTATGAGGTTGCAGAGATAAGGTCCAATCACAATAGTTCCCGCTCTTGGAACTGGCTGTTGGTGATTGGTCGGCTCTTCCTGGGCTACCAATTACAAGTGAGGGATTAGGATCCTAGCCCAGGATGAAAGCTTCACATGGTGTTTCAATGACAGAGTTCACATACATACTTTGGTCAGATTGAATACACCACAGGTTCCAATCTCCCCACACGCACAGCTGCTGATCTCCAACACGATGCATAATATGGCCATCAAGCTCGCACATGGGGTAGCCAGCCTTCAGGTGGCACCTGGAGCTCTCCCTCCATTGTAACTGACCTCCAGATGACCAAGATCACTTCCCCCAGAGAAAAGGGCCACTTTGGAAGGAGGACTCTGTGGCATTACACCCTGCTGAGGTCCCTCCCTCACCTTCCCAAGCCCCGCCCTCCTCAGGCCCCACCTCCAGAATCTCCAGGTATTTCCCAACCGAGAGCTGGCAACCCTAGTTGGAACAAAACACAGAACACATTGCCTGGGTCTTGGAAGAGCAATCAGGTTTTGTAAATTGGGTGTTGTAAATAAGAAGCGGGAGACTGACCAGTTATGAAGATGCACAGAGAGTTTATATAGTTATAAAGGTGAATATATACAAAGATATTTACAGGCTATTGAACAGCATGTCGTGCCTTAGTCTATGAGAACTGAGTCCCCATCCATCTTACTAAGCTGATAGCTATTATGCTAAACCCCAGCCAATCTCTAACAAGGTGATGTAATCACTAGCTCTAACAAGCCCTAAATAGCAACACCTGCTAGAAAACACCTGGCTGTAATTACATGATTACCAGCATGACAGCTAGGTCTGACAAACAGATCAAACTGATCTATAGTAACTGCTTGCTACCTCTATCACTCTGACATCTATCTCGTGTGCAATATTTTTATTAGGATTTTATCATATATAACAATATCACATACATATATATCCAATCGACCAGCCAACACCTAAATCCTATACATTCCTTTTTTGTTCCCCTTTCCTGCAACACAGAGCCCACAATCCATCATCCAAAATAACAGAAACAAATATCTTTTCCTAATTCACAACCCTGAAATCCAATCTGTATCGACTAAAACATTTACTTCAAACTTTTCATTAATGTTCTAGCTGGTATGCCTGCACGTTTTTGTTGACAATATAGACCTTTCTCCTGGGTACCTATCCTATCATTAAACATACATTTTCTTCCATGTTTTCCTCCCATTTTTTTTCAAAAGTTGACCGTGATCTTCTCACTTCCAAAACTCTCTAGTGTTACTGTACAGCTATATATTAATACATATTTAAATAAACCTTATCCATTTAAGCTTTCCCCCCCATTTTCAAAATTTATGTCATTATTCTACCTATTCATTTCCCCCTCCAATCATTCATTTTATTTTTCCATTATTAACATCCCTCATAAGACAAACAAAGAAAGAAGAAAAGTGACCAAACAAACAAACAAGCAGGCAAAACCACAACCACCTTATTTTCCCCTATATCCTGTTAATTCATTATTTAAATTATTATTCTAATAATCTCCAAACATACACTAAAGAAAATATAAAAAAGAAAACCAAAATACATGATTAAATATCATCACATTCATAAGTCCATCTGGTCATGTGTGAACTACACATTCTATCCCTCTGTATATCTTATTGTTTTCACCTACACTCTCACTAAATTAATTTCAAACTTATTTGATTTTAAACATTATTTTCTAAATTGATTACCTATAGAATGAAACCTCAATACACTGTACACAGTTAAATATATTCAATATCAGTTATTCCATCTAGTCAAAAGCGGAGTCTAAGCCATTCTTCCCTCCTTCTATACAACTTATTTTTTCTTTTTAACATCAACAATCTGCTTTTCCGCTTCAGCATTTCCAGATGTCTTCTTTCCTTGAGCCTCTTTGCGTTCCCATCTTCCTCTTTACCCTTCCTCAGCCATTCTATTTTCCCTCTTATCCAACTTTTACTGTTCTCTTTAAATTTCCGGAACCATCTTTTCCACCTTTTAATCTTTCCGTCTCCTTCTTTCCTGTTCTTCTTCCCTCACTTGTTGTGTTTGAATAGTCTAATTTTTACGTTTCTCCGATTTTTTTTCCTTTTTCAGTCTCTTCCCCGGTCTTTCCTTTGACAAATGCTCCTCTTTTACTCGCTCCCGCTTTCCTTCATTGGAATCAGCACATCCGTCCCTTTGCAAGATTTCCAGTGTCCCCTGTAAATTTTTGCGCTATTTCCATACATGCCTTCCTGCATTCTTTTTGTACAACGTCCCTCAAAATTTTCAAAAACTGCTCCACAGTCAGCTCGCCCACCTCAGCGTTTTCATCATACTCGCTCTCCATCTCATCCGCCATTTTCCTCAAGCTCTCTCAGTCCTCTACCTCCAGTTCCCGGCACAAAGTTCTTTCTGTACTCTCTTCCACCAGTCAGTTTCTTCACTCTATCCCTTCGCCAACAGCACCAGCCCGATGAATGTAGAAGCGCCGACACTTAAACCGTTTTCTTCCCCACAAACGCACAGACACATTAAACTTAGGTCTCTTATTTCTCCCAGCCGTTTGCGCACTTACTTAGACCTTTTCATTCTGGGGGTAGTCCTTAACCTTCCAACAGCAATTCTTCAAAAAACAATTTTTTCCTTCTTCTCCTGTGTTGCTGCGTTGACGCTTTCGATTGCTCTCAGTCCTTTTATTTAAAAACAAAAGTCCGGTTGGCTGCGGCTATCTGAACATGGCAGCCATGTTCTTCCTTCAAACGGTCCCGTGTCAGGGCTGTTTCTGGGCACACACACACCCCGTTTTGCCAAGTGTGGGGGGAGGGAGAAAAGAACGCCCCTTACTCCAGCCTTCCCTCCAGGACGGCTGGCCAAGTTCTCCCGGAGACCGGGAGGCTTAGAAGAAGCCGTTTGAGGATCGGGTGGTGCGGAGCGAACCTCCCTCCACCCGTCGCCGCGCCGGCGCCGTGATCACTCTGACATATATCTCAATAGACTCTGCTAATTCTGTCTCCCCAGATTTCAAATGATGATACTTTAGCAGAACCCCTAGGGTTGCCGGCACAAGGCTGGTAACCAATGGGAGCCTCACCTCCCGGAGTGGGGCCTCACTGTCAACGTAATAACATTGCTGACATTAGCCAAAACTGTATGGTTTAACCATACAGTTTTGGCTAATTGCTAGAGCACCACTGGCAACACGACGGTGTCACTTCCAGTTGCGCCAGAAGTTATGTCAGCATGTCAGGATGCTGACACCCACCCCCTATTCCCCTCCCCATTTCCTCCCATGACCCAGCTGAGCAGCCATGAGAACAACCTGCCCCTTCCCATGGGCACATGGCAACCCTAAGAACCCCCCTTCCCCCCGAACATTCTTGAGTGGAAATAAATCTAGTGCTTATCACCTTTATTTTCAAATTCCCTTTATTTCTCCCCATGACTTTGTATCAGCCTGCTTACTGGCTGCATAATCTACCAGATTTTCCAGTGTACAACTTTCCAATGCACAATTTCCTCCTTTCTCGACCTCAAGGCAGTGTACATAAGATTCTCTGGACGTCTCCCATAGAACCACCAAATAAAGCCAGCGCTGCTTAGCTTTGCTATGCTACATCACGTACCCTCAGACAGTATTTCTTATTAACCAGCAATTACTGCTGCTGTTTCAGAGACCGGGGACGGAGAGAAAGAGGCCTTGATCAAAGCCAACAGATCTTTGCAAAGGTCTCCCCACTGAGAGCCTCTTCAAACAGAACTGGAATGGCAGGAGGAAAAGTCGTGTCTGTGTTTGCTCTCCTATCCAGATGCTTCCGGATTAATTTGGAGCAATCCATCACGATGGGGCCATCGAGGAAGGAAACCTTGTGGCACTTGGTAGGAGCGCTCACTCACCCACAGCGACATTCCCAATCCACCTCAAGAC